CCCCAAAACCCCAAAACCCCAAAACCCCATGAAACCACATATTCATCAATTGATTTAACGTATTTAATCTGAATGTTAAAATTAAATCATTGCAAGAATAGTTTTAATTATTAAAGAAAATATGTACGATGCTTAAGGGGGTATTGATGACCCTGATATGAAAAAAGCTTAGGAGCTACGATTTCAAAGAAGGATAGTTTTTGGAATTACTCCCTCTGACGATGATAGATTTGATTCTAATCTTGGCGCAACAATCTCTGAGGGTCTAAAGCGAAAGCTGATGGAGGTTATAGATTTTTCAAATAATACGAAATTCAATAAGCGCAAGATGAAGGACCACATCCAGCAGAAATCAGCTCAGCATATGGCTAAAAATACTAATGCTAAGATGAATCAATAAAAAAAGACAATCACTTAAAAGTAATTTAGATTTACGATTTATCAAATTATTTAGAATGATAATACCTCTTGAAGGAGAATTTACGTCAATTTGCTAGCTAATTATGAGTATACTTTCAGCCTATAGTGTTTTCACTAATGTCTTTTAGTAATATTAGAATTTATAACACTCACCTTAGTATCGCATTTGGATATCCAGATATTTACGGATTAAGAGCGTTTGATGTTGCAATAGAAATTTTATTTTTGCTAGACATTTTTAGAAGTAACTGCTCTACTTAATAATCTTAATTTTCCTTTAGATTTATTGACAGAGTATTAAGATGCATAAACTGTGTAGATGGTTTCAGACTTTAAGAAAATTGCGGCTTAATATATGTTTAAAGGAGCTTTTATATTCGATGTATTTGCAGTCTTTCCTTTTATATATGTGGCAGATTGGAAGCACGCCTAAGATTTATTACTTATTAAGATGCTGAGACTTTATAAATTACAAGTTAAGTTTATTGAACCAGATCAAATTCTTAAAATGATGAGATTCTTTTATTAAAATAAGGACAGGGAAGACTAGATCCAAACAGATAACTTTATCAAATAAGTGATCAAGATTATCGGTCTGATTATCAATACTTGCGTTATCACATATGTATTAGGATGCTTTTGGTACAGAATGGTAGATAGAATTAACTTGGGTGATGATGAACCAACCTTTATAACTAACTTTTATATGGCAAAGAATCCGACTGCAAAGACTGTTAATGATATTCCTGTTCATGAGAGGCTTGTCTATAGTGTCTATTTTATATTGACAACATTATCAACTGTAGGCTATGGTGATTTCTATCCAGTCAGTATCTTAGAAAAGATAGTAGGCTCATTAATCATGTTCTGTGGAGTTACTTTCTTCTCTATCGTCATGAATGAATTTATCGGTATTATCTTAGAACTAAAAGGCAATAATCAAACAGAGGATGAAAAGAATCTTAATAAATGGATGCTCTTGTTAAGAAGATTTAACAACGGAGGTAAAGCTTTAGATAAAGGTATTAGAGAAGATATTATGAAGCACTTCAACTATTTCTGGGACAATAATAGAACAGCAACACTGTTGGAAAAGAAAGATTATTTTGATGCACTCCCAAGAGATATAAAGAGAATCTTAATGAAAGATTATCTCTTTGAGGATGTATTCACACAGCATAGATTCAAAGACTTCTTTGATAATGGGGAGGCAATGGATCCTGACTTTCTCTATGATATTTCTTTCGGCTTTAAGCCAAGACAATTCTGGCCTACAGAAGAAGATTGCTTCATCTATGAATCTTTTGAATATGTAACTGAAATGTATTTTGTCATGGATGGTGATTGGAGCTTTGCAAAGGAAATTAACAATTTTTCTGAAATTGAGAAAGACCCCTTGATGGTAAACAGAGTAAAGAAAATAAAAGGTAGAAACTTCCTAATCCTAAAAGAACACAGTACTGCTACATATATCGGAGAGTACTACATTTTTACTTCCTAGATGAGCAGATACAATTATATTGCCAATACAAATGTTCAGACATTCAGTTTAACTCAAAGCTTTATAAACGAGCATATTTTCGAAAAATACCCTTAGTTAAAGACAGAAATGGTGGCAGAAGCTCACAATAGGTACAATACCAAGTTTTAGAGGCCACTAAACAAAGCTTGGAAGGACTTAACAGAGAAGATTAGTATTGAAGCTGAATAAGAGAGGTAAAGAAATAGACCTGCTGTAATAGACCTCACTAAAGCTTAGGAAAAGAAGCAACAAGTAGCCAACCTCAATTAACAACTTGAAATGAATAAGGTAAAGCTTGAAAATTTAAATGAAAAAGCAAGCTAGATGTTCAAGCATATTGAAGACATTCAGCAACTGATTTTTTCCAAGTGCGATGAGTTTGATGAGAAGGTTAAAGAGGCTGAAAGTTAGTTTGGCAAGGAGCTGTCAATCGCTATTATAGAGAATAAAAAGCTTAAAAAGGAGCTAAGAGAGAATTTTAAATCAAATCTAAAGGGAAATCTCTTAGGAGGAGGAGTAAATAATAGATTTAACAAAAAAAGTAAATAGAATGAGCCTGTTTAGAAATGAAAGTACTTAAATCACTTACTAATAATCAAAAAATTGCTCATTCTTCAGTATATAAATCATTTTCAAGCAAATAATTTCTAAAATGTTTAATACACTCTCATGGGGTTTTGGGGTTTTGGGGTTTTGGGG